TATAATATATCTTAAAATTAGAAAGCATTGAAGTGACATAGTTACTGCTATAGGCATTTTTGGGCCGATATTTTTACTTATAAAATTTTCGTTGGTCTAAAAATAAATGTGTAAAATATTTACCTCTTGGCCCTCCTGACAGGTGCTCGAACAGTTTGAGAATTGCTTCTGTAAATAATTAAACTTTAAAAATATACTTGTATTTGTAATTAAATACTTTGTAAGTATTCGTAAAATACGTTTTTATTTAAGTATTTTTAACAATTTTTAATATGATACTAGTGTTAGTATTTTAATACTTATTCAAAAGTATTTTGTACATGACTGAAGGAAAACTACAAATCATTTGAAGGTAAAAATATATTTATTAATTAAATATAATTACATTTCAAATAAAATATTATCAAATGAATCATTATCACTATTAACTGGCCCATCCATGTATGAAGCGGAGCTCACAGTTGTACCTGGTCCATCTGTGAAAGAAGCAGGCTCGTCATTGGTGTAGATACTTGGCTAGTGTTGGGAAAAGGTGAACGGAATGAAGGGTTACTAGAAGTTGGACTTCCGAAATTTGGGTACATAGGTACACTGTAGTTTGGTGGCTGTGAGTAGAGGTGGGCTCCTGGGTATAGCTGTGTAGAAGTGTTAGGTGGATAATCATATTTCCCCATCTCGCGTCAAATAATACAGTACTAATTATTTGTCTCACAACTTTTTTACTCTACGGCGTATTGAGACCACTTATTTGCATACCTACTTGCTCTCCAAATAAGGTATATTGGTTTTTCACAGATCTACTCCCTTGTATGTCTTTCATGATAGCGAGTGCTTCATCTGTTGCTGAATACTTTGCTTTATTTTGATTTTTTGAGGAGTTTAATGACCGCTTTTTCACTTGGGATGTGGATGTTGATTGAATTGATACATCGTCATCTTTTTCCAATACTTTCTGATCGATTTCATTAGGCTCAGTAGTCATGATATCCAATGGGTCCTTAAAAGTTTAATTGATGAAACATTTTAAGTTAATAAAATAATGTTTATAACTTAAATAAATAAATCGATAACAGTATTAATAATATAGCGTTAACTAAGTCAGCCCTCGCTATTTTTTATAATTATTGTAAGCAAAACTTATGGACAACCTTGTATAAMATTTTAAAGTATATTGACGGCAAAAAAAATAATAGTTCAAAATAATATATAATAATAAATAATAAATATTATATTATTTGAATTAGGTATAATAATAATTATAATAATTATTATAATTAGGTATTAGGTATTAGGTATTTGAATGTGTATTTCGTTTTAGATGCCTGAAAATGAATCGGAATGGAAAGAAAAAGCAAATGAGTTCAATGAGAAATGGAATTTTCCAAACTGTGTCGGCGCTTTTGATGGAAAGCATATAGCTCTGCAGGCACCAATTAACAGTGGAACTGAGTATTTTAACTACAAGGGTTTTTTTAGTATCGTTCTTTTTGCAGTTGTAGACGCGAACTACAATTTCACGTATGCAAATATTGGCTGTCAAGGCCGAATTTCGGATGGAGGTGTATTTAATGAAACTAAATTCAAAAAAAGTCTAGAAGATAACACAATGAATTTACCCAGCCCTTGCAAACTTCCTGGAAGAAATAAATCTACACCATTTGTTTTCGTTGGTGATGATGCGTTCCCTCTCACATGCAATATTATGAAGCCATACGCCGGGACACAAGAAAAGGGTTCAATGAAAAGAATTYTTAATTACCGAGTAGAGCTCGTAGAACTCTGAGAACACTTTCGGAATTATAAGTTCTGTTTTTCGCATACTTAGAAAACCAATATTGTTGGAACCAAAAACTGCTAAAAAGGTTGTATTGGCCATAGTTTATTTACATAATTTTCTACGAAAACACTCTAAAACACTTTATAATCTCAATGGAGCATTTGATGTGGATAGCTCAGTCACATATCCAAGTGATTCAGGAGACGGGCTCAACAATATTGCTAGAGTTCCCAGAAGAAGTGCAACCGATGCCCAAGAAGTTAGAAATGAATTGGCCGAGTATTTTATTTCACCACAAGGACGGATATCTTTTCAATATGACTAAACATCTGAACTAGTATTTATGTAAAAGTATAGTGTATTTGAAAATTGTATGTTTTTAATATTTATAATTAACAAGGTATATTGATATGATCGCGTCTATATTTAATCTTATTATTATTATTAACTGATTATTTTGACTAATTGTATCTATAATTGTCTGGTTATAATTATCTTGTTATAAATATAGATTGTTATAAAAATGGACTGCTAATCGACAAAATAACAACAATTATATATATAAATAATAATAAATTCTATATTTTTTACATTTTTCATACAGAAACAGGGAGTGCAGAGTTTATCTCTCACCGTAGCACACAACGTGATAAATAATAATTCTAATTAAAAAAAAAAAAACTTCATTACCTGTGTGTCTGTCACACTTTTGGGCGATTTCTGTCTTTCAGAAAGAGCATACTCTCATAAGCAAACCATTTGCTCTTGTAAACTTCTTCGGTTCCACCACCAGATTTTACGCTATCTTTTTCTTTTTTAATTTCCCGTGAAAGATGACACAGCAAATTTTTCAATTTCGTCTTTTTCTACGCCAAAACTAAYGGCAATTTCAATAAAAGCATCGTGTCTTTTGTTGCGATCTTTATAATCTTTTAATTTACAATCCCAAAGAACGGGACGACTGCGATACAATTCTATCAATGTTAAAACTTTCTCATTCGACCACTCCATATTTAATAAAATGTAATACGAAAATAAAAACGAAATAACATGCACTTAGTACAATAGTCGATTGTCAACTGGCTATAGAAAGCCAACGGCATTGCCAACGTTGGCACGTCCGCACTTCATTTTGCCATTTGGCTTTCTTTGATCCTGACCGACAGTCGACAGATACGGCTTGGCATGCCAGTTGGCAAAACTTTGCCAAATGGCTTGTGCCAACAAAAAGTCCACATCAGCCTTGGCAATGCCATTTGGCAAAGCCATATGGTATAGTATGGACCAGGGGCGTCATTTGGGGGGGTGCAGGGTGTACATTTGCACCAACATTTTTTATAAACGCCTTCTTTGGCCTGCCAACAATAAATATAAGCGCCGATGTACCTAAGTGTTATATATTAATATATTATATATATTTCATATAAATATCTGTGGGTATAATATTATGCTGATATTGATTTCTTATCACGCTCCGGTATCTCCCTACTCGTTATAATAAGAAAACAACATGACATATARTTCCCATCAAAAGGGAAAAAATTGTCTTAAAATAGAACACCACAGAATATTATTTGTTTACATTTTTAACCTTGTCACTTACTTTCTACGGTAGAAATGGTATTCTACMAATTTTAGTACGTCGAGAGTACGATTGTTCTAGTCGAGATCGAGAAAGAAGTGAAATACTTAATAATATATATTATATAATAATAATAATATTTGCTTAATATTTAATATTATACAACCCGACAACCGCCAAGTGTCAGTATTAGTTTAGTGGTTTCAGTTTCTATAAATATATTAATGTTATATGTTTGTTTTTATAAATATTTATTCAACTGATAAATTATCTTTAATTATTAAAAGTTTTTTTTTTAAATTTTACGAGTGTATTAAGTATTTTCTATTATGAACGAACAAAAAAGAAAAGGAGGTGCAGCTCGATTAAGAGAAAAAAATAAAAAGCTTTTATTAACAGCTGGTTCAAACTGTCATAGTTTATTAAGTATGTTTTCTACAATATCTGAAAAGCAAAAACCAGCTTGCTGCATTGACAGGTAAGAATGTAATAAGACAACCATTTATTTTATGAAAATTAGATAACCTACATTTAGATATCAACCCGAAACACTGATAGAACCATGAGTTACAGAGTTTAAATCGGTGAGCTGGATTCAATTTAAGTGTTATAATTAACAATTGTAACCCAATTTTGATTTTGAGCTTGCCAAAGTTTTAAAATGTTGTGTGTTTGTACTTTTCCTATCCAACACTGTGTAGAAATATATTTACTTGCTTTATTTATTTATATTAATATTTTATAAAATAGAATCCATGCATAACTTACATTATATGAATGTTGTTTAAATTCCCTTTCTTAAATGTAAATGCAAATTCATAAAGTAGATATTTCAACTCTGTGGTTTAGTTTTTGATTTAATAACATAATCATGATTTTTTTCAGGTTTCTTCAACAGCTGAATGAAAGATTTTCAGAGAAGAGCAAAGATTTGTTTAAGCTGTTTGAAATTTTTGATGTATCCAGCAATATTTTTTTTAATCCTAACTCCCCTCATTTAATATTCTTTACAAACCATTATAGTTATTTTCAATTTAATGAGTCTAAAATGTTATCCGAATTTCCTTCTGCAAAATCCTTGATTCTTAAAAAAAATATAACCAATTTGAATTTAAATGACATTATTTCCTGTTTAAAAGATTTTCCAGTTGCTTTTTCAGAAACATTAAAAATAATATCTTTAGTTTTAACTTTACCTATAAGTACGGTTTCTAATGAAAGATTTTTTTCTTCACTTAAGAAAGTCAAGTCTTATATTAGATCAACCATGGGAGATGAGCGCTTAAGTGACTTATTAGTGGTTAGTGTGGAGAAAGAAGAGGCCAATAAAATTAATCTAAATGATGCTGTAGATTCATTTTCAAAGTTGAAAAATCGAAGATATCCACTAATGTAATATAATATGTATTAAGTAATTATTACTTTATGATAATAAATGTTTTTATTTGTGTAACTAAATAATTTGTTATTAAAATAAAATTTAAGTTGTTAAATTAAAATTAGATGTGGAAAAATTTAGAAATATGAATTAAGTATATTGTGCCATTTTGAATAAGGTAACCCATAAAACAAATTTCAGGTTTAGGTGTTTAGCTATATTATTTATTTTGAGTGTGCAGGGAGAAAAAATGTATAGGTTAGTTTCGATTAAGTACTATTAAGGTGCTTAATATCCATAAATTTGCTTACCAAATACAACTGGCATCCACAATATAATATAAACTTATTAAAAGTACCTACACATAGTTCTTCAAAAATAGTAATAATATTGTGATGTTTTCATACTAATATAAGTGATGTATTAAATACATTTTACAAATATTCTACAGTTTTTGTCCCCACTAGACCCCCCCCCC